TTGTGTTTGTCAGCGTAGGCTTACCTGCCTTCTTGAGGAAGTGCCTGCCACCAATTCAGTGATTGAAACTGTTGCTGTGACCATACTTTAGGGGTTTATACCAAATTGCTCCACTCAGTCACCCAGGCTCATGCCGACTCTCTTGAGCTCCAAGGAAATCCCTTATTTATGTCTGCTGCCTTTGTTCCAAAAGCCTCAGGGATATAACCTCCAGGCTCTTGGTGCAACAAATTGAAGATGGTAAATTCCAGCCAGCCCCATCCCACCTCTTTTTCCTCCCGTGTAAAATCCATTGAAATGATTTCAATTGTGCAGCTTTCAGAAACAATTTTGACTGTGTCTGGCTTAGCCATGCTGAATTCTTGCCAGAAAACTCTCCTTTTTGCCACTTTTTTCAAACAAGCTGAGTGTACCTGGTGGTCAGTGCTCTGAATTTTCAGTAATCAGGGAGGCTGGATGTTTTTTCATAGAGTTGCGTTTGGAAAAGTTGCGTGTGTGTGTGTGTGTACACATGAGGCAGCTGCTCTGAAGCAGCAGGATTGTGCTTCTAAGAAGGTCTTAAAAGGCTCTGTGGAGATCAGAGGTGGCATTTTGAATCTGTGTGAGAGTAAGTCTTTCCTTGTGAACAAACCTGTTTACAAAGCCGTGCCTGGGTCTGTACTCATCAAAGTGTGATGCCACCTACAGTCTGGGCTCCTGCTTTCGGGATAGGTTTCCATGAATGCAAACAAGGTCTTGTTGATATTTTGGAGTCCTTGAGCATTATAGGGAGCTTACAGAAACATGCAAAGTTTTTGAGGACCTTCCAGGGCCCAGTCCTTTTGTGAAACCCAAGGGAATTGTTTCCCCAAGTGGATTGGTGGGACATCACACTGGCAGCAGCTCCACTGATACAGGATTTACTTTGTTACCAGGGCCTGATGTTACGAGGGACTTGGCAGGCAATTGACAATGCACACCAGAAAGCTGAAAAATCCTCAGCATAAAATCCTGAGGCAAGCGGTAGGCAGGGTGTCAAACTGACTGACTGAACCATAAAAAGAAGCGAGTAGGTGCCTGTTTCCAAACAGCATTGCTGTATAAATGGCAGCATGTGGGGGAGACGGTCGCTGGAAGGATAAACGGCTCCAAGGCGAAAAGTGTCAGACGGAAAGAAATAGATATATATTAAGAACAGGTAGAGGAAGGAGCTTCCTGCTCCTGGGGAGTTGCTGGGAAGGGTTAACACTCACAGGGGCGTCTGAGTCTGCCCGGTGAAGATGAGGAAGGCCACATCAGACTTGGAGAGGCCTTTCAGTGCTTCTGGGTTTGTTTTTTTTTTTTCTTTGCTGACAAAAGAGTGAAGGGTTTTTCAAAGGTATTAGGTAACAAGGCTCCAGACTGCACTTTTTCCGTGCACCAGAGGGTTCGTGTTACACAGTTACGGGAAGATAAGCCAGCACTTACATACCCTCTGTGTCTGCCTATCTCTTTACAAATGTTGTCATGGTCTTTGGTCTTGAAGTAGTTTTTAAAGTTTTAAAATTCATCTCAGGGCTTGGTGTTTTTTTTTTTTTTTTTCTTTTTATATCACACAAAACTTGCTTTTATTCTGTTTCTTAAGAAATGGTTTATTGAAAAAGTGATGCAGTATTTTCCAGGCTGCTGTCCTGAGATGTATAAAATCCAAGGGAGATCTGTGAAATTTAAAACCAGAACACAGCCAGAAATCAGGGAAAAAAGCCTCCAAAACCCTGTTATTATTTCTTAGGTGTTTCAGAGCACGTTGAAAACACACTGAAAAAAGATTAAGGATTTCAAATCTCCTTGTCAAAGGAATTTCATCAGTTGCTGTCCTTAAGGATACTAGTTGCGGGGCCATTAAGTGTACTGGAGCCTATTCAAGTAACCTGTTTCTTCTCCTGGAAAGCATCCTGTAGATTTTAAAGGTCAGGGAATAAGGGCCCTGTCAGATCTTCTTTTCAAGTCATGTAGTGGTAAAGATGATATAAAAGGAACATCTACTTTAATGATGGCTCACTTTTCTGTGAGGCAATACTGCAGTTGTGTGTTAAAAGTATCTAAGTACTGGGCACAGCTTATATAAGTGATTATTTCCAGGCCACTTTCTACAACATGTATGAGCCAAATGGTGCATAGCATGTTGTTGAACGCTACCAGACTTGCTGTTATATAGATTATTTTCTTATTATTAATGTGAATGTTGGGATTAAGTTCTTATATCATACTGTTTTGTTTTGTTTTGTTTTGTTTTTTTCCAGACCAGGCAAAAACCAGTTTGCATGTAACATCACTAGATGATGCAGAATGTCTCCGATCTAAAGAGCTCCTTTCGACCCCGAACAGTCACACTTCTAATTCAAAGTCCACCCGCAACATCCCTCGAAGACATACAGTAGGTGGCCCTCGCAGTTCCAAAGAAATACTGGGAATGCAGACCTCGGAAATGGACAGGAAGAGGGAGGCTTTTCTTGAGCATCTGAAACAGAAATATCCCCACCATGCTACAGCAATAATGGGACACCAGGAAAGACTGAGAGATCAGGTATGAAAGGCAAATTCGTATCTTGCTTTTTTGTTAAACAGCCCTTATAACTCCTGAAAAATTGAGTGTTGCTCATTACAAAAGGTGAGATTTTTTTGATGTAGCCTCATTCAGTTGCTCCCTTGAAATTCTCAGAAACACTAATAAAAGTGAAACTTCAATATTACTATGGAATAGTTTGTTGAAACTGACATTTCTGAAGAGCTTTTCATTTTTTTTTTTTTAAAGTGTACATGGAGAAAGGGATGAAGGTGAGACTCTTGATCTTAGTGTATGGGTCTCCATCTACTTTTCACAGCTGAAGGGAAAATATGGAACAGCTGTTAACTTTCAGTATTGGCACCACTGCATGGGAGAAAAGAAAATATCTGTAGAGCATGTCTGTATGCTTTAGCTGGCTCTGTTACCCTTTCATTTGCTTTCTTTTCTATTTTTGAGTCTTTTAATACAAACAGGATGGAATTATCCACAGGTATCTGCCTCCTCTGAGCTGTTTTGACATCCACATTGGTCTGTCAGCAGCTTACCTTAAGGTGGTTTTCTTCTCGCCTGCTTGCAGTTGCTTTTCAGCAGCGAAAAGTAGATGCAGGGTCAGAGGAGATGTGACACGCTGATGTATTTCTCTGAGCAGGTGGGGGCTGCCGTCACACCTTCTGAATTCAGGGAATGCCGTGCAAGGATCTCTTCACAGCCTAACTCTGGGCTCTGGTTTTGGGTGCAGCGATAGAGTTTAGTCTGTTCAGCTTTATGGACAATTCAATAATTCGTGTTTTCCAATGAACCAGCAGAATTTAGAGTTCAAGCTCAAAAATCTTGTGTCCGTTATTCTCAGTTTACCAAATGATTGACAGCAAACCTTTATAAAATATTTCTTCTAAGTGTTTTATAGGTATTTCAGCACTAACAGCAAATTAATTGTATGTAAGGAATAAAAACAAGTTAGAAAAATACTGTGCTATGTTATGGGAGTTCTTACTGGATTCCAACCCTCTTTTGAAGCCTTCCAATCCTTTGGAGATCAGACCGCTGTTACAGGTTTGGAAAAATTGTCTTTTGGTGACTCCCCCCTACAAGTTCTCTTTGAGAGGGTCTCTAGAGATCCCAGGTGCTATCACTGCCTCAGAACACAACTGCTTTAATTTGTATGTATCCAGCTAAAATTGCTGCAAGACTTCAGCTCTAATGAGGATGATCTATTCCTTGTTTTTAAACATCTTTCCTCCTTTCCTTTGAAAGTCTTGATTTTTTTTTTTTTCTTCCCACTTATCTCTTCCATGAACTTTAGTGACTGTGTGGAATGTGCTCGGTGGTGGATAAAGATAGCATACAAATTAAATAAAGGGGGTGGGAGACGGGGTGAAATCCAGAGATTAGATCTTTTGGAGTCATGTAAATATTTAGTTCCAGTGTTGCAGACGCTGCAAACCCAGTTTGAACAGCCTACAGCATTACACCCTACACATTTTGTAATTTGAGCTGTTTCTGAAGGCAATAAATTACAAAAGGAATTCAGTAACTGTTCACGATATTTGTTTAAAATGTGTCATCCTTATTAATTTATTGAGGGTAAAATTCATGCGAATGTCTCCTGCTTCTATTTTTTGATGATTAGACATATGTTGTATATAATGAGTTTTTAAATAATTTTGAAACAAAATAACTTTGAAATTACTATTAGAGCATCAAGCTGTCTTTCTTGGGAATGGGGAAGACTAAAGACTCCATCCATTCAGCATAACTTCAAAAAAAAAAAAACCAACCAAAACTGAACAGAAGCCACAAATAAATTATACCAGTTCATTGTAGGAAATGTGCTTAGTTGAAATGTAACGCAACAACAGTCTGGCTCATCAGATGCAGTAAGATTATTATGGTCATGGCATTACAGTTCAGAGGGTTTTTTTCTTGCCAGTTGTGTCTATGCATGCACACACATGTATCTCTGTATTTTGTGTATGTGTGTGTATATATGTATCTCTGTGTATAGATACACATAGGTATGTATACAGATACACTTAGCTATATGTGTGTGTATATATACATGTATGTATAACGCACACTTACTTAGCTGCTCCATGAATTAAGACCATAATATAACTTTGCTCCAGAGGGTACATATGTGTGTTTAGCATACACACTTCCTTTCCCCCCTCCCCCCCCTCCCCCTTATATATCTATGTGTGTAGCAGTGGTATAGAAGACAAACCATGTACACATGTAGTAGATATGTATATGTAACATACATATATCTCACATACAAAGTCTGTAAGATGTATGGGAAGACATGAATTAAACTGTCACGATTTATTTTGCAGGTTCCTTTCCTCCCTTCTTACTTCTTCAGCTGCTCCAGTATCTGGAAAGTGGCAACATTATCCATGGTGGGAATTCCCCCACTGTAGGAGATCTATCAAAGATAGTAGCTAATGCAACACCATTTTCTAATCCCTATGTCAAATGGTGCAGCTGGAACATAAAACATCCCAATATTTACAGTCAAGATATAGTCCCTTGGATATCATATAATTTGTCTTCCACGTTGCTCTAATCCCTGTCAGGTCCATAACCAACAAAAATGAGAAATGAGGCAGAAAATCAAGATTGGCAATTCTCTCTCTCTTTTTTTTTTTTTCTTCTCTTGTCCATTTTAACCATCGGTATCTGAGAATGGCAAATTGAGGGGTCAACCAGGAGTGGTTTGCAGAAAATAAATGTCAGGGGAAAAAAAATACTTGATATTGTTAGATCATACAGTATCACCTCCACCAGCAAGGTCAGCTCTGAATGTTGTCCATATATTCCACTACGTATTAAAGGTTTCCTCCAGGCTTCCTTTGTTCAGATAAATCCTTCCCTGGATGTACCTCCTGAGGACCCATTTCTGTTCTTGATTTACCTGCCACTAATCAGAAGTACAATCATGGCAAGGTAAAATGCCAGCAGGGCTTACTGATGGTTAACTAACATGGTGACCCGAAACCTCCCAGCTGTGCACACAGATCATCCCTCCTCCACCCTGCAGGTTTGTTGCCCTGTTTGTGGTATCTTATTCTGGAAAGGAAAGCTCACAGATACAGGGGCCATCTTTATTTGCAGAAGGGCCTTGAGATGCTGCTGCAAGGCAAATAACCTGCAGCTAAGCTGCTCTGCGTGGTAAACTGTGGTGTGAATTTGCAGCAGCTGGGAGGGTGAGGGCATGCCGTATCTTGTGCACCCCAAAACGCCCGCAGGGGAATGCAGCACCCCATGGCCGCAGATCTGCAACCCACAGCCTGGTGGCTCGCCCTCACGCTGCATGTTTTCCCCCTTGCAAGACAACCAACCCTGCAGCTAGGCACTGGAGCTCCCTCCACCTGGAAGCCTGGAAAGCTGAGGAACAAAACCTTTTTTATAGGTAATGCAAGTTTCTGCAGGAGCTTTGAATACGTTGCTTCTGCCAAGGCTGTCTCATCTACATTAATGAAAGCAAGGCGCTAACGTAATCCCCAGGAAAGCTAGAAAGAAAAAAGAGAAAGGAAGGAGGAGAACAGTCTTGGTCTTCTGAAGTTTGAGATGGTGTGAATCATCTGTTGCTGAGCTCATGGCAGGACATGGTCACTCACTTATGTGGGATTGACTGCAGTCAGCAGAGAAGGAAAGAGCCGGAACAAGAGTAAAAGCTGGGACAGCAGCTGCAAGGATGAAAAAGTTGGCAAATAAGAGGTTAAAATGCTCACCGGGCCATGGGAGGGGAGTGATCTCTGCTGTGAACCTGTTTTACAAGTCACCTCGCTAAAAAAACCTTTCTGAGGGGCAGAGAGCAAAAATGAGTGTGTAGAGGGTTTTTTTTTTCAGAGCCAGAACTTATGAGCTGGAAGATGTTTGCCACAGCTTTCTTTTGTTGTCATTTGACTAGGAAATACACTGGGAGGTGTGGAAGGGTCAGGAACAGCTCTAGTGTTTCTGCCAGTGCTCCGTAAAGAACAGATTTATTGGCAAACAAAATTAGATTTCCATCAATTTAAAAAAAAACCCCACACCTTCCTGTGCCTGTGCAAGGCTGAGTGCCTAGAAAATGGTGGTTGAGGGCTTTTTTGTTATGTTCAGTTAGGTCTGAACATGACAGGTAACTCTGGCATTTGGGCAGGTGTGGTTAAGGTTACCATGGAGATCCATGATGTCATGCTTGATAGAGCATGTCAAGACAGCTAATCTAACATGTAGATGTTCAAAAAGTCCCATAGGCCAGAACTAAGCTTTATGCAAATAACAAAGTTACGCTGCAAAAGGGTGAAAGAAAATACGGCTAAGATATGGCGTGCGTTTTACCTGGCAGCCTGAAAGGATTATTACAGGCTTCATTGTAAATTAAAACTTTCGGAACTAAAGGAAGAGGATTTCAGACCGTCTCTGGCCTCACCTGTGGAATCTCACTTTTCGGTAAATAAGACTCTTTCTCTCTCTGCCCTCTCTGTAAAAAAATGCTTTTGAAATCATGGAGTTTGTTTCACCACGTTGTTCCTCTTGGCAGCAGGGCTGAGTCAATAAAGCAAGTTTTCTGGCATGGCATGTTCCCTTTTCTCTTTCGAAAATGGGTTCTTTATAGAATGAACTGAGGATTCGGAATTATTTGAAAGGCATTGTAATGTATGATGTTGATTATATGAATCATGCTGCAAAAATGTCCTAGGTAGTGTTTTGGAGAAGAAACTAAGAATGGAGACACTGTATTTATTTGTAGATTATTGCCAGATGTCTTTCCTTATAACTGTTAAAATAGAACCCTGAAATTACAACAGCATTTATTCCAGGATTTGAGATCTGTAAAAATACTGAAGCTTTTTTTTTTCTTAATGGATCATAGTATGAGTTGGTTAAACTGACTTTGGTATGTGCTTTGATATCATAAGGTAACGCTGGGGCATTTCTTAGAAGATTTTTTTCTTGGCTGAAAGTACGTTAGCAAAGGGTAAACACGTTTGGAGGTAAAAGTCCAGCAGTAGAAAGGCTATTGGGACTTT